CCCAGCTCCTGCACGCCCTTTCCCGGGCGCCCCAGGTGTGCGGCTGAGCTGCAGACACCCCGCTTCGTTACCCAGCACACCTTGACCCTGCGGGGTCGTCGGAGGTCAAGGGCACTCGACCGGCAGGGACCCTCGTGACCGACATTAACATCGGACCCTCGAACGACGGTTAAGAAATGTGCCCAAGGAGTGCCTACACCGTCCCCGCAGAAAATCAAACAATAAGATTTAAAATGTGTCCTCACTTGTGTGTTCCCTTCAGAATCCAAACCCTTCTCCGCAGCCACCGGACAGACGCCCTCTGGGCACCCCGCGCAGATAATAAGCTTTTCCCGCGGATGCTAGGCCGCGGTGGCCCGGCCTGCGGATACGGAGGGGAAGCCACCTGCGCTCCCGCCCGTCCCCCCGCGGAGGCCCGCACCCGCCGCACTACCTTCGGCCTTCCCAGCCTGGTCCGTGGTCCCGGTCCCCGAGGACTCAGACTTCGAAGGCCCCGGCCGCCCAGCCATTTCCTCTCAGCTCGTGGGCGCCTGGTTGGCACCTCCGCTGGGATTGGACGGCACCCGCGAGGGGGCGGGGCTTCGGTAGCACGCCTGCGCAATGCGCTTCACACCACCTTCCGAGAGAGCTACAGCAGGATAACTAACGGCTCTGGGCAAACACCAATTGAAAGTCCTTAAAGGTAGAAGAGGGGAGGGCCGGCGTGCAGACTTCCGGGCTGCCGATTGGCCGGTATGAGGAATCTGATCTGCGCATGTGCAGAGGCCTCCCGGGCGCGCGCCCCTCTGGATGTCGCTGGCGCTGCAGCACGTGCTCCTGTGCAGTCCATCGGGGAACGGAGCTAGAGCCTCAGTTCTGAGAGGCTCCTCGCTGCACACACCAGAGCTTTACAGTGACACCGAACACTCCTCGCTCAGGCATCTGACATACACTTCTGCGTATAGTTATATTAAGTTAACAAATTTCTGCGTATAGTTATATTAAGTTAATAAATTTCCCCGTAGCCCCAAAATGACTTTTTATGGAGCGAGGCAGACGGTGTCAGCTCCACGGGACTAGCCTTGGCTGCACATCTAGGTAGGATGCAGGGGAGAGGGCGAGGGTGGAGCATGACCCTCTCTCCTCCTAGCTTGATCCCACGGCTGGCCCTGCTACCTGTGGACAGAGAGTGGCCGAAGGTGGGGCCGAGGGGGTGAACCATCTCGGGGTCTGCCGGGAGGGCAGGGGGTGCGGGAAAACCCTGCCCATAGGGGAGGAGGTGTCCTACCTCAATACGCCCCCTACTGGGGATCGGGCCCGCAACCCAAGCCTGTGCCCTGACTGGAATCGAACCGGGACCTTGAGTCCGCAGGCCGAGCCATCGTTCCTTTCGGGCCTTGTCCATACTGTTTCCATTCTCCGGCGCTGGTCCTAGGAAGCGCGGGCTGGGGCAGCAGCAAATCGCTGTCCAATGAGCCAACGACTCTCTCACAAAACAGCCTGTGTAGGATGAGTCCCCTATTTTAGACCTTCTATTTTAAAACAATTCCACATTTACTTAAAAGTGGTAGAAACAGAAGCCACAGCCCCTGCACGGCGCTGCGGCAGGTGGTCACCTGGGGTGGTGCAGGTGTAGATGCAGGTGGAGGCGCGGAATTCTCGTTTCTGGGGAGAGGCATGGCTGCGGGGCCATCCCCGGGCCAGTGGACCTGGGTGCAGTCAGTGCGGGATAGTTTCCAGCCTGTTCACTGTATACAAAGTCTGTTCTGGGACAGGCCAACCAGAAGGAGCAGTCCCAGCGCTGGCACCTCTGTGTTAAAGCCCTCGCCCATCTTCCAACCAGAGAGGTGAATGCTGACAGTGGGGGTTCCCAGTGACTGAACTGGGGGTGGCATGATAGGAAATGAGGCCAGGAGCGCCAACGAGCCTGATAGAGTCTCAGCACGTGGGGATCATAGAACCTTTCTTCTCTAGGCTGGGGGCGGGGCAGGGGGACCGGTTGGTAGTTCTTACACTTGGGAAACAATGGGGATCCTCCAGGGGCTCACATTCAAGGTAGGGGCCATGAGGAAGAGATAAACCAAGATATTGACTCGGGCTGTGGTAACTGCAGTCAAGAGAAATAGAGGGTCTAGGGATCAAAGACTGGAAGAGTGGGACATGCTTCTTCAGATATGGGAAGGCCTCTTGAAGGCCCCAAATCAAGTGAGGGGGCAGGCCCTGCACTCCTGGGGTGGGAATGGGAGGCAGTGAGTGCAGAGGTCTGCCCTGAGATGGCAACATGGTTGGGAGGAGCCCGGGGAGCAAGCAGAGAGGAGCAGAGGTGAGGTGGAGGGAAGGGAGGTGAAGGTGAAAACCTGGATCTAACTTTAATCCCTTTCATGCAGTGAGTCCAGTGGGTGGGGAGTCAGCGAGGGGGTTGCAACTGGGTTTTGGGAAAAGGTTTTGCCTGCTATCCCCTTATACTTTAATTTTGGATCATAGGTCTATACTTTTATTTTCAAGAATTAAGTTTTAGAAGTAAGAGCGAATGAATTGATTTCCAAAGGTTGTGAACTGTGGGGCCTGGAGTTGAATCCACTTCTGTTTGAGCCTCAGTTATAACGGAGACATATGACCTTTCTGCAACTTCTTCACCATATCCATCAAGTCTTCAATTTTCTGTGAGGACTTGGCCTGCCCTGTGGAGACAAAACAGAACATTTCAGCCGAAACCGGTTTGGCTCAGTGGATAGAGCGTCGGCCTGCGGACTGAAAGGTCCCAGGTTCGATTCCGGTCAAGGGCATGTACCTGGGTTGCGGGCACATCCCCAGTAGGAGATGTGCAGGAGGCAGCTGATCGATGTTTCTCTCTCATCGATGTTTC